AACTCCTTATTTTATCCAAAAAAATAGCAAAAATTACCAAAACCCAGTTAACTTTAAAATATCATGGTCTTCTTTTTTCATATAATTTGGAGTCAATTCATTGCATTAAGGAGCACAGGCCCCATTAAGCCTGGAGGGTCTGGAATACGTTACACAATGTTGTCCGTGGGCACAGTGCTCATTGTTTGAGGGTAGCACTTATCAATATTTTTTGTGTCATTTTCTGACTTATTAGAGTGTAGCACTTATTCAAGTAAACACCATAATGGCACTCTTGTGACTGCACCATTTCTTTAAGCCTTGTAGGTTCTGTTGCATAATAATTGTGAAACTTTATCTCTCTTAAAGTAAAATGCAATACTTGAATAATTTGTTAATTTGTTTTTGCAGGCTCTGACTAATATGGGTCATATTCTTGAGGCTGGAGGTTCATCATTTGACAAAGGTGAATGTACAACGACAATATTTTACCACTGTTAATGAATTTGTAAGAGTGTATATGTTAACAAATAAGAATCAGAGGTTTCTTTAAGGGCTGCTGGCACTGGGGAAATTGACTGGCTGTAAAGGCGAATTGGCCCACCTGGTCTGACCTTCTAGAAGACAGTTTTTCTTATGAAGAATTTCAGTTCAAAAAGGGTTTGCCCGCCTTTGGAAACCAGTTGCCCTGACCTGCTGAAAACAGTAATGAAACCCCAGTAACAATATAAACAAGTTCTTTAATGCATGAATTAGTCCTTTGCAATGTTGAATGTTGAAGAAACCATTGGACATCAAATAGGCATAGTTGAACTGAAGAGTCAAGCCATTGAATTTGATTGGTATTAAATTTATTCTAATGAGTCAGGGTGAATTGAATCAGAATTGAATTGTATTGAATTGAATGAAAATTTAATGCGTTGAATTGACTGTGAAATAGAGAAAGTCATTAAATTAGCATTGAGATGAATGAAAATTTGATGGGTTGAATTTACTGTAGCTGCATGTACAATTGAAAATTTTTATTCTTCATATTTTAATTTTTTTTTCTTTTAGTTGTGAAGACCACTGTTTTGTTAGCTGATATTAATGACTTTGCCAAAGTAAATGAGGTGTACAGTACCTGTGAGTATCTATTTTTTATATGCTAATATTTTATATATGATTTAAATATTTATATTTCTTAGTTTATATTTGGCTTACCCAATGCCTCTTACATTAGTTTGTAAATCTTTTTGGGGACTAGAGAAATAAAATGGCAAAAAATTTATGTTCTAGTGACGAGTCAACTTTAATGATGCATTAGTGCAACACCAAGCATGGACATATAATATTCATTTAGTTTTTATTCCATTTGACATTTTAACCTTTTTCCATAGTTTTCACCTCTAATCAACCTGCCAGGGCTGCTTATCAAGTGGCAAATCTTCCAAAGGTAACTGACAATCTCCAATGAGAGGTTTTTGGTTTGTTTTATGCATGGATTTGATAGCTACAAAATATAGTAAACAGTAAAGAGGTAAAGGTAAGGTAGGGAAAGTCTGCATACACGTCAAGTGGCCCATCAGCCCAGAGCTTATCCCAGTTTCTGTAGCATGAAGTGACTATGTGTGTTTCTACTCCCCCCTGGATGAGATGCTAGTCCATCACAGGGTCACCCCCAGCATTAACCAGTATCCATTTACATATCTGGGCTGGGAGAGAGGCACTGTGAGAGTAAAGTGTCTTGCCCAAGAATATAATGCAGTGACCCTGGCAAGGGCTTGAACCAGACCACTAGATCCAGAGACAAGGGCACTAATCATGAGGTCACCACACCTCCCACATCAGCTCCCATAACTGAAAAGCTTCTCTTTAAATAACTTTCATTTGAATTGCTATACACGAAGATGGGTGACAAATGGTTCTGTAAAAACAATGGGTCTTTCAAACTTTTTGTCACATTTCATGGGTTTCACAGTTTAGCAGTTATGCATCTCGCAGGCTGAAAGTAATCTAGGAGTCTCAATTTGTTGAAAGGCTAAGAAAATCTCAATTTGTCTGTTTGTTTTTATCAATGACATCTGGACATCTTAAGACCGTCGCATACAAGCAGATTTCTTGTCGGCCGACAAAAAATCTTCACTTGT